CATAGCCAAATAGCTATCAAGGAGAGGATTAGACTAGAACAATTCTCTACATACTATCTTCCGATGTGTGGTGATGGTGCAGTCCCTACAGCACCAATAAGCATCGTTCTCATTGCCATGGGCAATGTTGCATGTAATTCAGATTTGCTCACCCATTTCTTTAAAAAGTTCTGTTAAGAAACATCATTGGCATTCTCATTTCTTCCCTAGCATAGTGCCTCGAAGTTTGCTCAATTTCATGTTCGTTGCATCTATGACACTGTCTAACCATCTCATCCTTTGCCGTCCCCGTCTTCTTTGACCTTCAATCTTTCCCATGGGCAATGTTGCATGCAAAAAGCTGTAATTCAGATTTGCTCACCCATTTCTTTAAAAAGTTCTGTTAAGAAACATCATTGGCATTCTCATTTCTTCCCTAGCATAGTGCCTCTGATTCTGGAAGTTTGCTATCATGGTTAATGGTAGGACCACCCTTCATAAATCTATCTAATCTTTATATGTAGTAACCACCGGGCAGATCAAAATTTTCCACAAAATGGGGGCAGCCATAGTTTAGGGTTTGAAGAAAAATCCGAAATATTAAGAATGAGAGGGGGAGATCCAGGCATTATAAAACCTATGCAGATCACCACGACATTAGATCTCCTGCGTTCAGCACAGGAATGGCGGCAAGGCCTTAAAAGGGAATTAGATGCATGGAGGATGGGTTCATAAATGGCTACAATTGTTTTTATTTTTTATTTATTATTATATTTCTACCCCGCCCTCCCCGCAAACGGGCTCAGGGCGGCTCACAGAAAGGGCACCATGTGCCAATATAGAACAGTAGAATACCCAAAACATATAAAAACAACCGTTATCAAAATAAAGTGCTCAGTGGTGTTATTAAAGCATTCAGTCAGAACAAGATGGTAGCCTGTAGATGAAGCTCCAAGCCCGATTCGGCGGTATGGTCAGTCGAAGCACTGTGGCTCGATCTTGTAATGGGCCATCCCAATACCCCATGTTCCCATGAGGTAGTTG